TCTAGTTGTGGCGAGCAGGGGCTACTCTTCGTTGTGGTGCGTGGGCTTCTCATTGCGGTGGCTTCTCTCGTTGCGGAGCACAGGCTCTAGGTGCGCGGGCTTCAGTAGTTGTGGCATGTGGGCTCAGTAGTTGTGGTGTGCAGGCTCTAGGGCGCACAGGCTCAGTAGTTGTGGCGCATGGGCTCTAGAGTACAGGCTCAGTAGTTGTGGTGCACAGGCTTTGTTGCTCCGCGGCATGTGGAATCTTCCTGGACCAGGTATCAAACCCGTGTCCACTGCACTGGCAGATGGTTCTCAACCATTGCGCCACAAGGGAAATCCCGAAAATAAATTTTTTTAGAGAGGCCGATCTAACTTTCAGATTTTTTTCTCTAACTTTTTGCCTTTCCGTCCCTGCCAGCTCTGATCTTGACTTACTCCTCAAATTGACTCTTGCCCGTTGCTTTTTGTCAACCCTTTGATTAGGGCTGACAATCAAAGTCATCTTTTTCATTGGAGTCAGCTCCTGATTTCAGCCTGTTCTGTTTCGTTCCTATGCTAATCTTGCTAAATTTGATGACTCACCTGCATCGTTGCCAATATGCAATCTCCCTGCGCCCAGATTTTGCCTTGCCCTTCAGAATTTGAGGGCATACTTGGAGTCTGAGGAGACTCTGCTTAGTCCTCCATTAACAAGCATGAGTTGTTTTTTTTTTTGCGGTACGCAGGCCTGTCACTGTTGTGGCCTCTCCCGTTGCGGAGCACAGGCTCCGGACACGCAGGCTCAGCGGCCATGGCTCACGGGCCCAGCCGCTCCGCGGCATGTGGGATCTTCCCGGACCGGGGCACGAACCCGTGTCCCCTGCATTGGCAGGCGGACTCTCAACCACTGTGCCACCAGGGAAGCCCCAAGCGTGAGTTTTGACTTCTTCTATTTGCCTTGCACTCAGCTTGGAGAGATTGAAAAGTAAGAATTTTTACCTTCAAGGAGTTTACATACTTGCTGGAGATGAGGCACGAAATAAGACCAGATGATTAACAAGGATTGGGTCCATGAGTGCTGTAGACCTAAGAACAATTAGAATTAAGAGAAGCGTTTAGATTATTTCATTAAAGAGGTAGAACCTGGCTGTCTGAGGAAGTTTGGGCAAGATTTGGATTGGCCAAAGGACAGCAACACAGTTGGTGGACTAGGGTAGATGACATGCGGACGAGAATCACTTAGGACTTGACTTTCCTCTACATTATTTGCTTTCCTTCTTCATTTTCTGTTGACAGTCACATCCACATCTGGGCCCTGGGTGTCACCATCCTTCATTCTGACGCTTTCTTTTATGTGGTTTCCCTTGACTGCCTGTGCTAGCGACTATCCCAGGGAACTTAAGATTCATTTACTTTTTATTTTTATTTGTTGGGCATATATGAAGACATTTGGGATATTTCACTGGGGATAAGTCACTCATTCTAAGAGCTGAGATTAAGTCTGTGGCAAACTGTGCCCGTATCTCTCACCAAGATGAGAGAAAGAAACGTTGCTTGTTGGTTTCTTTTCTGGGCACTTCTGAGATCTTAACTATTTGAAGCCCTTCCACTGAGCTCATATCTTTCTTGTATCAGTTTTGGGTATAGACAGGTATCCAGGGTTTATAACCCTTATTTTTCAGATGGGAGATCTGGATTTCCACGATAGGAAATGATGAGCTCAGGATGTGAGCTCCTCTAGGGGTTTGGGCTGTTCCTTTTTTCTCCCCAGTGCCTATTTTTGTTCCTGGAACATATCAAGTTCTCCGTAAATGTTTTCTGGGTGAATATTTAATGAATGTCTCAGAGAAAACAACAGTAATGCAGGGTTTGAGCAGAGCTCAGCAAAGCGGAGTGTGTAGAACTTCATCCTTTTGCAATGATTTAGAGTTCTTCTATTTGTTCAGAAGTGTCCAGTGTTTAAAATTACATCCTCTCTGAAGTTTTGCAGTGACATCCCCCTTGACTGTTAGGCACTGATTCATTGTGATTTCATAGCACTTTTATCCCTCAAAGCACCAAACACATGATACTTTGTGACCTCTTCCCCTGTCTCTTCCTCTAGCTGTTGAGCTTTTTCAGGAAATCGTTTCTTGTTTATTTTTCTAAGTTCAGTACCTGGCACATAGCGGGCACTCAATGATTGCTTTGAGAATAAATGGTCCTATGGTCCTGTGTCACAGTGGATGCTGTCGATGCTCTACACAGATGCCCTCAGATACCCTCCCCAAGCTCCTGTATGGTTTGCTTCTAACAGTTCACACCATCAACCTTCTGGAGAGGACTAGCCTTGGGCCATTGGACACTCTGTGCCCTGACCTTCCAAGATCCATAGTGCTCGGCAGTTTACATTCCTCAGGGGCATCCTGGAGCTGGTGGTTTACTGGGTCAGGAGTATGAAATCCCAGCTCCCTTTCCTCAAAGTTGAAAAAAACTCTGCAGCATTATTTATCCTCCAGAGCTTGTCGCAAATTCAGATCGATGCTGGAACTTCCCCTGAGCTCACGCCATGTTTGGCTTCTTTCTCTGTCTGTCCTGATTTCTCTGCCCTTCCCAGTTTCTCCTGAGAACACTTCTTCAATAGGTCTCCCCTGAAGGAATCCTTACCTCAGGTTTTGCTTTGGGGAAAGCCAAACTAAGACCTATGCTAATTCTGAATGTTGGAATTATACATGCAAGTTTCTCTGCAATTTATACGGAAATAATAAGCATATTTCAAACACTCAGGTAATTTCAAGAAGTATTTGACATAGACCTCCTGAAATAATTTCCAATACCATGTTTTATGATGCAACATACCTTTCATGGGGAAGTATAGCCCTTGATAAACCTATTGCTAGAGAGGACTGGCTTTCTTCCTCACAAAAAGAAGTGTGTGTTTCTAAGGAAAAAAACCAGGAAGCAAGCACTGATGTTAAACTGGACCACTCACGTATTAGAGCTGAAGAGATGAGACCCTAATGTATGAGTCACAGAGAAAACACAGCTGGAATGAAGCAAGGCATTCCAGCACATTCAGGAATGTCACCAATTCATTTCTGAATGGGGGGAGGGAAATGTAGTCAACCGTGTAACACATACCTCTCTGTTTGCTATTTCCCATTGCACCTCTTCGTGTCTCCTTTTCTACAGCTCTCCAGATCTGTTTCTCTCACTATCCCCACCTAGCTGGTCAAATTTCCTTCCATCTCCTGGTGAGTCACCGCAGTAGGACCCCAGGTGCCAACGGAAAGAGTAATGGCTGAAAACTCTGGCTTTCTTAATGGTTGTGTGTATATTTCCAAGAAGAATAGATCACTGGCATTTTAAAGGGATCATAAATATACCATTAATGAAACTGGAAGCCATCTCTTCAGCAGCCAGATTATTGTCAGGAGTTGACACTGTTCCTAGAGGAGGGGAAAGCGCTGAAATAAAGTTCCCTCGGTCTAAATATCTCCATGCTGCACAGGCGTTGGGTGTGAATGACACTTGGCGGTGCATCAATATCTTTTAAGTGCACACTGTCCCTTCTTAAACCCTTGGGCTGGTGACAACTTGACACACAGAAGGCGTCACTCTGCATAGGCTATTTAACCAAAGGAAGATGATTGTCAGTTTTCTCCAGCGTTCTTTTATTAATAGTCTGTAAACACGGATGTCGCTAGTAGGTGCAGGTCCTTTTCTTTATTTGAAATCGCCATTAAATTACTCTCCCCAAATACTGTAGCACAGCCGCAGACCTCACTGAACATAAACTTTATAAGCTTGTCCTCTCTCCCTTGAGCTTTCCCCTGCTTAGCTGCCCGTCCTCCAGCTCTGAGTGTGTCATCAGGCCTGCTCTCCAGCTGGGCATAGTCAGGAAAATGGCAGCTCTCATGGAGAGACAGCAGAGCCATCCACGGTCATGGAGCTATTGAAACATTGACAGATATGACAGATATTTCCAAAGCTGTGTGAAGCATTAATTTTAATGTACACTGTGTGTCGTTACTTAATAAATATTTATTTGGCCGTGAAAGATCGGAGAGGCAATCACTTCTTTCCTGCAAATACAGTTCCTGGCGGAGTTCCATCTCCCTTTTCTTGAGGGAGCTCAGGACTCGGTGGAGTTTGGAAACAGAACATGGGGAAAGAAAAGATGCAAGGGGCAAGATCTCTATTCTAGAGTCAGACTTGAACAGTCTCCCGTGTTTCGTCCAAAGCGTTTCCTTTGGCCATGTGGACATAGCCTAACCATGTTGGCTTAGCAACCAATAAGAACCTTGTTTAGCTAGAAAATAATTTCTAGGAGGCCTGGATTGCCAATGAGATCTTATCTGAAGACAGGTAAATCTACCTGACACTCTCTTCCACTCCACTTTTCCCACCCGAGTCTCCTATTACAGACTTTTCATTTGACCTCTATAGTCATTGGCTGTCAAATATACACAGAGGTCTGTTTGGGGTCCATCTCTTCAGATGCACAGCAGATCATTTAAGCTAAATGGATGGAGAAGCTGGAAGGCAGTAGATTGAGTTAGAATAATAATCATTGAACACCTGTAAAGGCATATTTATTTCCACATGTACTATCTCAGTCAATCCAAACAACTCCCTGCCATTCAGGCATTTCACAGAGGAGAAAACTGACACATGAAGAGGACAGAATACTTTTCCCAATGTCACCTAATGGCAGAATCAGAATTTAGACTTGGGACTTCCTAATCCAAGGTCTAGTGCTCTGTCAGCTATACTGCCACGGAGAACATTGCATACATAAAAGCATTTTGTAAACCTTAAATCTTTATGAAAATGTTAGTTACTGCTATTGTGAATAGTTAGAAAAATGTGCTTGTTAGTTTTGTCTGGCTGGTCAGCCATCCAGGGCTTTTCTAATGAGGCAATGAACCCAACAGGGGTGAGGGGATGAGCTGCCAAGCCTTTCACATCAACTTTGTGTGCACTAATTAAACATTATGCCTGGATAAATGGCCCAGGATGACAAAGTCCACAGCTTCTCACAGATGGTTCCAGGAAGTCGCATGGTTGGCTGGAGAGAATTTGGTCATGAATAAGATGCAACCTCAAACCTCCTCCACTGGTTCTGTGTGAACAGGTACATTAATCTTCCTTTGTATCAGTAGCAAGCTGTGGGGTGAATGGCAGGTGGGCCCCAGAAGTCAATTTCCTATTGGTAAGTATCTGCTAAATATATGCTGATTTCATTATAATATATAAGGAGAGTGATATATACTAGGGTATGAGATTGAGCTCTAAAATACTAATTCATTTTAATTGTTTTTTGTTTTTTTCTTTGAACCTATGCTGTTTATCTTGGCAACCTCCCTTAAATGTCCTTTGACTTTTTACAAGCTGGTTTATTTGTCAAGTTTGCTCTCTTCATTTCTTTGTATTCGGTGGAACTTCTCTGGGATTTTCCTCCAACAAAATTTTACACCAGAGAGGGAGATATACAGAGTCTAATTCCCTAGGGAATGAAATAGGTTTACAACTTACGCAAGATATTAGTCATGCATACTATTATTATAATAAATATTAAGACAACTCTAGCTTGGAGTCTCAGAGGCAGCTAGCTGTCTACACAAAACTTTACTAAATCTGGAGTATGCTCTACCTTTTCTGTCACAAGTTCTGCAAGTATAGAAAAACCAATTTTTTTCTTCACTTCAGTAGTTGTGTGACTGACTGATTATAGCTTTTGTGTGTGTATTGTGGTAAAGGTACGTTTTCCTGTGGAGTACCTGAAAAATCAGTCAGAAGAGAAACTACTTAAAAGTCTTGAATCGTCTAGTCACCCAAATGGGAATGTATTTGCTGATGGTTAACATGAAGATGGGTCTTGTACACCCTCTATCTAATGTTACCCAAGATATGTGACTTCAGTGGATCCACCCCACTGAGTCTTGGACAGGGACTCAACACCTGATATAAGCAGACCATAATCTTATTTACCCCAAGCTCTTATCCAGATCCAGTATTGATATTTGGGGCAAATCTTTATTTACTTGACACCATGCTGTATTTTTTATATTTATTATTATTTATTATCCTGTTAATGCTTAAAAAATACTCTAAAGGTGGTTCGGTTGTTTTACAAATAGAGACACTGACCTCCTAGAAAATTTAATTGATTTGTTCGGGGTAGGAGCTGGGATGTGAACCCAGGGTTTCTAACTTTTAATTCTATTTCTTTCATTGGTGATTTGGTATAACAGGCTCCTGTTGTTAACAAGATATGGTCTGTTGAGCAAGGAGGAAACCACCAACCCATGCTGGTTAATCTTGCCCATCAGTCACCTTGCAGGCATTGTTGGTAGTCTGCACCCTCTTTTTTGCCCAACATTTAGCTTGAGGGTGACGAGGCATGATGGTTCTCCAATAATGCTCCTGCCCATAAATTCTTTACACTCAACCAAGATTAATGGTGAACTATTTTTAAAAAATGATGGTGTTTGGTCATTCATTTGCTTCAAATAACTGACCTAGGGCTGATGCCTAAGGTGGAACTAGGCACCACTCTAGTTCACAAGCCTTTTAGAGACATCTACAGTCAATATTTCTAGTCCTAGAAGAGTCATACAAAGTCATCTGGACCTGGGATACAATAAAAAATTTAAACTTCTCTCTAGAGAAGAATCTATCTCCAAAGTCTTAAGAGGAAGATGAAGGTAAGGGGGCAGCAACCTTGATTTCTGTAATAAAAAGATGAGCTTTCTGGTCAACGTGTATGCAGTTAATTTCTGAAGATGAGTTTATTCTTGCCTTGTTAAAAAAAAAAACTGAGCAATTTAGTTTTCCAAACATTTTGTGGCTGAGCAAAGTTGAAGTGAATTACTTGCAGTTAGAAGCCACGGTTTCTGTCCATCATCAAATGGTAACAAAGCCTCAAAAGTCCAAGACACATGTTTCTTTTGATTAATTCAATGCCATCGGACACTTCCTCTGCATTAGAAAGCGAGGTGATCTAACCATGGTTGCATTTTGTGGAAGAAAAATGTGGTGAAAATTGAATACCTCTAGGATGGCTTAAGGACCTTGTTTTTGGAGACCATGTGACATAGATTATGCTTCACTTCATTCCAGAAGAGTGAATACCAGGGAAGGTAATGCAATAGACTAAGAAGATTGCATGTTGAACTCCTCTTCCTGGAATGATTCCCAGAGCTTTCACTGCTTACTCTTCTCTGATGATTCCCAAATTTATATCTTTAGCTCAGGGCTTTGCAATGAACTCCAGACCCAATTTTCAACTGCCTGTTCAATAGTTCCACCAACATGTTTTGCATACATGTATTACTTCTTTGACCAACAGAATCACTGTGCCTCTGTTTTCTTGTCTTTCTTAACTGTAGCTAGAGTCATTCTAGAATTGTTCTTTTCTCTTGTTCCCTACATTTGATGAATCCCTGTGTTATGTTAATCCTACCTTAATAGTATTCCTCAAATTCAATTCTACTTCATTTACCACTCATTCCCACTTCTCTTTCCAGGATTATTACAGACATTCCCTACCAATATCCCTGCCTCCGCCTCTCCTCTCTCCAGTCTCTTACATGATTTGCTGTGAGAGTTTTCATCCTAAAAACAATGCCATCGCGTTGCTTCCTTGCTTAAAGATCTCCATTGTCTTCTCCTTGGCAGCAGCATAAAGTTCAAACTCCTTCATATGGTTTACAAGGTCTTTCACAATCTGGACCTGACTTATCTTTTCAATCTCATCACTTGCCACTCCCCTCAATCACACACACTTCACAGTCACCAAACCGAACTGTCTCGTTCCCTTAACACATGGTGTGTTTTCCTCATTGTGTTTGTTTGCATAAGCTTTCCCCTTGGCTTGGAATCCCCTCTACTTTTTCCCAGAGTCCCTAGTCATCTTTAAAAACAGCACAGTCACTGATAACAGGCATATTAATTGACCCTTTATTCCGATCTAGGGACTATGTTAAGGGCTTGGCATGTACCATCTCAACTTTTAAAACAATCCCAAGATGTGGGTATTATTCACATTTTAAAGAGGAGGTAATGAGATTTAGAGAGCTTGGGTAATTGCCAAATTTACACACGGTATCCAGGCTGAAGGACTCTGGAGCCCATACTCTAATCTCTACAGCGTAGTGCTTGAAAAATTAAGTGATCGAATATACGAAAGGATGAACCAATAGTACTAGGAAGATTGCGAGCTTTGTTTTTGGAGAAAACATGGCATGAATTATATATTCTTTATCTTTAGAGTAGGAGCTACCAGCCCTTTTTTTGCACTGAGAATTGTAAATTTATCATCAAGCCTCTTCTCTGAAGCTCCTGTGATTACCACCATAATCCATTCCAGGTAGGGTTCATAGGCCCTCCCCCTGTGCTCCCATAAATTCATACTTCTGTTTTTATCAGAATTGATAAATGGTGAGTTCTGATAAAAATTTATCAAATATTATCAATATTGGCTCAAGTGTTTGTCTCTCACCAGACAATGAGCTCCTAGAGAATCAAGAAAATATCTCTTTCCTCTTTTAACTGCCGTGGTACCCAACATGATAGTTGGTCCAGAGTAGGCATATGGTGTGCGTTTCTGGAATAAATGAATGAATGGACTTAACACCTTTGCTTTAGTCTAGGAGTAGATGTAACTATTCTGATGCATAATATTTCTGCTTACGTTTGCACTCAGTGAGCTTATACCTCAGAGTGACTGTGAATTGTAAGCTGCAATTCTGGTGTTCCTAAGTGTCTCTCCAAGCTGCTCTGTGCCTCTTCTAGTGGGAGCATCTTGCCATGCTAATTCTATGTCTAGAGTTTAAGACACAGTTTATATTTTTGTCTGTAACCTGGCCTCTAAACACATGCTAATGATTTTCTCTGGTGCTCAACTGAAATACTGGTGATCCATTCTAATCCTAGAAGAAAAACTGGGTATTTTTGGCTTCTGCAGTTGTTGAAGAATTATATTTTATAGGGACTTCCCTGGTGGTCCAGTGGTAAAGAATCCGCCTTCCAATGCAGGGTATGTGAGTTTGATCCCTGGTCAGGGAACTAAGATCCCACATGCCGCAGGGCAACTAAGCCCACGTGCCATAACTAGAGAAGAGAAAACCAGCACACCACAACTAGAGAGAAGCCCACATACTGCAACGAGGAGCCTGTGTGCTGCAACGAAAGATCCTGTGTGCTGCACCTAAGACCTGACACAGCCAAAAATAAATAAAATAACTAACAAATAAATCTTAAAGAATTATATAGAACAATGGAAAAAATGGATGACTTAAGGAATTTCAAGAGTAGTATTTCTTTCTTTTTTAAAAAATTATTTACTTATTTTATTTATTTTATTTTTGGCTGCATTGGGTCTACATTGCTGCCCTTGGGCTTTCTCTAGTTGAGGCGAGTGGGGGCTACTCTTCGTTGCAGTGCGTGGGCTTCTCATTGAGGTGGCTTCTCTTGTTGCAGAGCACGGGCTCTAGGCACGCGGGTTTCAGTAGTTGTGGCACGTGGGCTCAGTAGTTGTGGCTCACGGGCTCTAGAGCGCAGGCTCAGTAGTTGTGGCTCATGGGCTTAGTTGCTCCGCGGCATGTGGGATCTCCCCTGACCAGGGCTCGAACCCGCGTCCCCTGCATTGGCAGGCGGATTCTTAATCACTGCACCACCAGGGAAGCCCTCTATTTTTTTCTATATTGAATTTATACCTGAAACAAACACTGGAAACTAACCTTCGAATAAGATGTGACTCTGCTATTGAGTGGTGGACAGAATATTAATGTAAAAGCTTAAGAAGATGATATTGAAATTCTAACTTGACCTCTAGGCTTCTGATTTGTAATTTGTCAGAATGATGTACGGCAATCAAAAGTCTTTTTATGAATTTATCTTCCCTTTTTTGCGTGATTGGTATATGCTGTTTCTGCTGTGTAGACTGTTGCTAGCTGCCTAGGCCAACTAAAGCTATAAGTACTAGCAATCAGGTCAGGGGGAAATGCTGTGGGAATGCATGTAGGGCAGATAGGATAGCAAAGCCCATACTAGGAAGAAATGTGAAAATGGGGGTGATAGTTGGGAGATGTGGTCAGGGCTTAAGTCGGTATCGGAAGAGCAAAAGAGATTCTTTGTTTCACAAGTGAAATTCATCACCTGGGGGTTGGCGATTTGATGAGAGAGGTGAAAGTTGACAGGAGCATATCG